ACGTCTCCGAGTACCGGGACAAACTTGTGTCTGAAGTCGAGTCTTTGCTGAACAGAGTATCGGAATTCTCGTCGTCGACATATCGAGTGACGTGCAGTTTCATGGTCACTTGGAAGAGAAGTCCAAATTGGCCTTTAAAAAGCTTGGCGTGCTCAGCAGAGCGGGACAGTATTTCATGCCGGCACACCGCCTGCAACTTTACAAGGCGCAGGTTCGGCTGCACATGGAATAATGTTCCCGTCTCTGGGCTGTGGCTTCCCAGTACCAGCTCCTTCCACTTGACCGCATCCAGTGCAGAGCGGCTCAAATCTTCGACGACCGAGTGCTTTCCGATCGGCTCGATTCACTGGCGCTGCGAAGAGATGTTGCATCTCTTTGCATTTTCTTTCGCATATACCATCCACACCATCTGGATGCTTGGCGGTCCACCACTGTACGTTTCAAAAGAAGTTTTATCTGCGTACGATCTCTCTGTAGAATAGTTTACCACCGGCGATTTTGCTCGTTTGCCCCCTCTTCTATAAAAAAACTTGTAAACAGATGCTGCTTGTAGGGGCTGGTGAACGATATACGATCTACTCTGCATTAGAATAACAAAAAAGAGGATGACGCTGGAGTTTCTTTCGCCGTTTCTTTTGCAGTCAGTTTTAGATACAATTTAAGTCGTCTTTAGATGGCTCCGTAGCGCAGTGACCAAACAAGTCGCCATTCTAAAGACCGTGGGTTCGAATCATGCAAGTAACAAGTGTTTTTACGGCCTACAAATAATTGTTCCGGGTCTGGCTGTTTGTTCTTGTGCAACTTATTTTTGTTGTGGCGTAACTCGCTTCTCTTAGACCTACGCAAATCCGCTACGCGCATGAAGATTAAGCCACAAGCTTATATCACGCCACAACCAGGGTACAATGCAAATCATTGATAATATAAGACATCGCGCCTACAACGGAACGCGAGAATGTGCGACGTTCATTCCGCCTGCAACCGGCATAGTAACAGGACGCGAGGCGCTACTTATCCACTCAAGCGTCCAGCCCGCGCGATTGTTATACCCTTGTACGTCCGGATAAGCGCGGCCCTGATTCGGGTGCTACCGCGCTCGCATCTTGTAACAAAAACCCTACATAGCTTCTTAACTATAATAGCTAGAGTAAAGAAAAAACTACGAAAAATTGATAGAAGAATACAGATTAAACCTATGTATATTTTAAGATCTAAAAACTTAATTTAAGATATTAAAAACGAGTGTTAACATTGAATTCGGAGAAAAATAAACGTATAAATTTTATTAATTTACACCACAACGAAGAAATATTGTATTTTTTTACCAATAAAATAATGCAACAACAAACTAGACGTATTTTCCTTTCTTATAATGCATAGATCATCATCATCATCATCATCACAGCCCTTCACAAGTCCACTGCTGAACATAGGCCTCCCCCAAGTAATGCCACAAAGCACGGTACTGAGCCACCTGCATCCATCGACTTCCTGCATATCTTACCAGGTCGTCACTCCATCTAGTGGGGGGTCGCCCTACACTACGCCTACCGGTACGAGGCTGCCACTCGAGAACCTTTCTTCCCCATCGGTTATCGGTTCTTCGAGCTATATGGCCGGCCCATTGCCACTTCAGCTTACTAATCCGTTGGGCTATGTCGGTCAATCTGGTTTTACTGCGGATATCCTCATTTCTGAGTCTATCACGCAGAGAAACTCCGAGCATAGCCCTCTCCATAGCTCGCTGAGCGACCTTGAGCGTCCTCATACGGCCAGCAGTGAAGGACCACGTCTCTGATCCGTAAGTCATCACTGGCAACACGCACTGGTTGTACACTTTAGTTTTCAGAGATTGAGGTATACCTGACGAGAAGATATGTCGTAATTTCCCGAACGCTGCCCAGCCGAGTTGAATCCGTCGATTGACCTCTCGGTCGAAGTTGGACTTACCTAGTCGGACTATTTGTCCCAGGTAAACGTACTCGTCAACAACTTCGAGCATAGTGCTCCCAACAACTACCGGCATAGGTGTGACATGGACATTAAACATAATCTTTGTTTTGTCCATGTTCATCTTAAGACCTATCCGTTGGGAGGCACTATTGAGGTCATTGAGCATAGTGCTTAAGTCCTCCAGCGATTCATGCATAGATGTTTATGTTTAATTAACGCTAAGTAGTTAAATAAATTGTAACAAAACACCTACTCCTCGTAATTTTCAACGCAAAACTAGGCACAAGAGAAAGCGGTGAGCTGAAGTTAGGGAAATTTGGAGTAGGGCAACGGAACCGAAGGGGCCAGCAGCTGGCCGACTTTATGGAGAAAGAGGGACTCTTTATGATGAACTCTTTCTTCCAGAAGCGGCCCCACAGGAAGTGGACCTGGTCGAGCCCCGACGGTTCGACAAAAAATGAGATTGACTTCATTATGACGACCAGACGCCAACTGTTCAGTGATGTCTCAGTGATCGCAAGGGTGAAAACTGGCAGCGATCACCGAATGGTTAGAGGCACACTGAACCTAAACGTTAAGTTGGAGAGGTCTCGTCTAATGAAGTCAACGCTCCGTCCCCCTCGTGCTCTGATCCAAAATCCCGAAAACTTTCAGCTCGAGTTACACAACCGCTTTCAGTGCCTACAAGATTGCAATGCAGTGGACGATATGAATGACAAGCTCGTGGAAACTGTCCATGCGGTCGGAGCTAAGTTCTGCAAGACCCGCCGCAGAAGAACACAAAAACTCTCCGATCACACTCTTAATCTCATGGCTGTTAGACGGGAGATGAGGCTGCAATCGTCAACAGATTTGACAGCATACAGGCAACTGAATAGACAGATCTCCAAATGCATGCGGCAAGACTTACGCAACTTTAATACTGCTCGTATTAAAGAAGCGATCGAGCGGAACCAGGGCTCCAAAGTCTTTGCCAGAGATCTGTCTGCCAGAAAGAGCCAACTGTCAAGGCTGAAGACTGAGTGTGGCAGCATCGTTTCCGGGACACCTGAGATTTTGAGTGAGATTGAGAGGTTCTATGGGCAGCTGTACACATCATCGTTGGAGCCACACGCAAGTGTGAGTAACGATCCAAGAGCAAGTCTTATCCGACACTATTCCGATGATATCCCGGACGTCAGTCTAAGCGAGATTAGAATGGCTCTCCAGCACCTTAAAAACGGCAGGGCCCCAGGCGAGGATGGAATTACAGCGGAGCTTCTGAAAGCGGGTGGAACACCGGTACTTGAAGTCCTTCAGAAGCTCTTCAATTCCGTCCTCCATGGTGGCACTACTCCAGAGGCGTGGAGCAGAAGTGCGGTGGTCTTGTTCTTTAAGAAAGGCGACAACGCTCTCTTGAAGAACTACAGACCGATTTCCCTTCTGAGCCGCGTCTACGTGCTGTTTTCGAGAGTCATTACGAATCGTCTCGCACGCAGACTCGACGACTTCCAGCCTCCCGAACAAGCCGGTTTCCGAAAAGGCTTCAGTACCATAGACCACATACATACCCTGCGGCAGATTGTACAGAAGACTGAAGAGTACAATTTGCCACTTTGCCTGGCGTATGTGGACTATGAGAAAGCCTTTGATTCCGTCGAAATTTGGGCGGTGCTGCAGTCCCTTCAGCGGTGCCAAGTTGACTGTCGGTATATCGAAGTGCTGAAGTGTTTGTACAGTAGGGCTACGATGGCTATCCGAGTACAGAACCAGAGCTCGAAACCTATCCAACTGCAGAGAGGTGTAAGACAGGGTGACGTTATATCCCCGAAACTCTTCACCGCTGCTTTGGAAGACGTTTTCAAGCTACTGGACTGGAAAGGATACGGTATTAACATCAATGGCGAGTACATCACTCACCTTCGATTTGCCGACGATATAGTCCTTATGGCAGAATCGCTGGAGGACTTAAGCACTATGCTCAATGACCTCAATAGTGCCTCCCAACGGATAGGTCTTAAGATGAACATGGACAAAACAAAGATTATGTTTAATGTCCATGTCACACCTATGCCGGTAGTTGTTGGGAGCACTATGCTCGAAGTTGTTGACGAGTACGTTTACCTGGGACAAATAGTCCGACTAGGTAAGTCCAACTTCGACCGAGAGGTCAATCGACGGATTCAACTCGGCTGGGCAGCGTTCGGGAAATTACGATATATCTTCTCGTCAGGTATACCTCAATCTCTGAAAACTAAAGTGTACAGACAGTGCGTGTTGCCAGTGATGACTTACGGATCAGAGACGTGGTCCTTCACTGCTGGCCGTATGAGGACGCTCAAGGTCGCTCAGCGAGCTATGGAGAGGGCTATGCTCGGAGTTTCTCTGCGTGATAGACTCAGAAATGAGGATATCCGCAGTAAAACCAGATTGACCGACATAGCCCAACGGATTAGTAAGCTGAAGTGGCAATGGGCCGGCCATATAGCTCGAAGAACCGATAACCGATGGGGAAGAAAGGTTCTCGAGTGGCAGCCTCGTACCGGTAGGCGTAGTGTAGGGCGACCCCCCACTAGATGGAGTGACGACCTGGTAAGATATGCAGGAAGTCGATGGATGCAGGTGGCTCAGGACCGTGCTTTGTGGCATTACTTGGGGGAGGCCTATGTTCAGCAGTGGACTTGTGAAGGGTTATGACGATGACGACGATTTCAAGTAAATTTATTGCTAATTAAATATTTTATTTAAAACTAGGAATTGATTACAAACTAAATATTTACAAAAAAAAGGACTAAATTAAAACTAAAATAAATAAATAAAACAAAATAAATTATGTATGGTACTGCATAAAGCAACCATCAATGCATAGATTTATGTTGCATTCTAGGCACTTCCAAATAGTTCTGGCTGTGACTTTTCGCTGGGCGCACAACCAACAGCGACTTTGCTTAAAGCCAGTTTTAACTGGGAAATGTCGATGCTCGACTTTAGGTCTGCTGGTCGTGGTTGTCGTTGGCCTTTTCATCAGTCCGGTTCTCGAATTCATAAGTCGTGGTTCTGTCGTGAGGTCAATATGTCGGTGTAACTTTAGTAAGTCTTCCGCCAAAGTTGTCCTGAACTGTCTGTGTGATATATTTGGATTAGCCGTTTTAAATAAAACAAAACAATTAAAAATGGCACAGTTAAAAAGACGACGAAATACCTTTTTATACCAAATTTTATTTCGTACACGTTCCATGGGCTGAGCAGACAAGAACTGGTCTTTCCTGTCCACTCCTCCCATGGACTTATTGTAGTCCAGGACAACGCTTGGCTTGTATGTCAGTCGGTCATATTTTTGTCGCGTACCGATTTGGAGGGAATGGTATGTCGAGAGCATGCTAACTAGGTTAGCATCTCGCCATACGATTACCGACAAATCGGAACAGTAGCTTGCCAATACTTCACCTTGTCTTAGTTCTGTTTTTGTTATTGTCTTCAATGAATCGGGAACGAATTCCCGATTCAGTCGTAAGGTCCCAAAGCAGTCTGTCTGTTGTCGTTTCAGACACCGCGCTAATAATGGACAATTGTAAAAATTGTCCATTATTAACGTGTGTCCGCGGTGAAGTAGAGGTTCTACTAAGTCGTAAACTATTTTGGCAGTAGCATTGCTGGGATGTACATCGCTACTGCCAGTTATGACATGTTCAGTCGTGTCTGTATCATCAGGTCTTTCGTCAGTGTCAATAGGGTTAGTCTCGTTAGATGTAGCTGTTGCAGTCGCAGTCCCAGTCTTTTTCTTTTCCCGCATAAATAAAAAACTTCCAAAGATAACCAGAGGAAGACTCACAAAGCTCATAAGTCTTCACTCCGACTTGCGCAGCCTTTGACGAAATCTTCTGAGCGAAGCCTAGTCGTACATGCCACTTCAGAAGGGATTCGTCAATGACAACCTCCTGGGAAGGATAATATAAATGCGAGAACTTTTCGTTGAAATAGTCAGTCACCATTTGAATTTTGCACAGTTTCTTTGGTTCTGTAATTGTCTCATTGTCGACGAAATGGATCAGTGACTTCAATAATAAAAATCTATTGTACGACATTATTTTTCGGAAGTAAGGCATAGTGCCAAAACCATTGAAACTAAAATAGGACTCCTCTTCCTGCAGGGGGTATAGCCCTTGAAGAATTGATATGGCTAGAAAACTGACCATTTCATCCCTGTCCGTCGGTGTCCATCGGTGTAGTCTTAAAGTCGGTAAGAATTTGTTCTGGTCTTTCAATAATTTTATTTTTTGGTCGGCATATCTGTTAGTCTCTGTGCAAATTCTGTCTATAAAGTCGCTGTCGATCATTTTATAAAAAATTTCGACGATACTAGTCTCCTCTGTAATCGAAAATGTCGGTCCTGGAGTCCCGGTAAAATTTTCTCGTTGTCCTGTAAAAGTCTGTCGATCTCTTTTCCACTCAAAATTGTAACAGTCATGTGGTGCGATCTCCCTGATTGCTAGGTCATTTCGTCGGTCTTCTGTCTCTAGTATACGAACCTCGTACAACGTCATGTCAGTTTCAGCTGCAGGCTCCGCCGTAGCGTTGCGTGAGGTCATGACAGGGAGAAAGCAGTCCTCGTTTTCTGTGTCCATGTCACAGTCACTTAGGTCATCGGTCAGTTTTATCCAGTCGCCAACGACAACGTCGAAATTCTTGTCAATAACCCCTGAAAAAAAAAACTTACTGTTAACAATTCGTGGTTTTCTATATTTGACTTCTAGATTGAATAATGCGTACCAATCGAAGTACGCTGTTTGCTAGTGGAAGGCGTCACAGTTACTTCGTCATCAGCCTCGGCTACCATATTGTTTCCTGAAATAGAATTATGCTTAAATAAATTGTTTACTTCAACTTCAAATTGACCTTAACTTTCACTAGAATTTATCTCTATGAATGTGACCAGAATTGGCCTTTGACTAAGAAGCAGAAAGACTTCAAAAAAGGAAAAACATTAAAAATAAAAAGATTCAATAATAATTTTTTAGATGTATGTGTGTAGTGTATGAATTTGCGAGAGTGTATGTGTGTTCAATCTATCAAGGGATTTATTGAGGAAGAATTTGCAGAAGGTATGCCCCTTTTTTTAGGAGTTTTTGCCATTAAGGCTCTATTGATCTCCGTATCTAAGCGATCCGGATCCAGACTGTCTAAGTAGTCGGGAGAATAAGGGACGGTATCGAGGTCTGACGTACCGATACGCAGCAAATCTCTAGGTTTCAGGTCTTCTGTAACAAAAAATATGAGGCTTAGGATTCTTATAAAATGAATAATACATAGGCCTAGCAATATATTTACTTACGTATCTCCACGTCCCTGGGCGGAGATAGTTGAATTTCATCTTTTCAAAGATTTCGTTTTCAAAGATTGTGAAAAGGTTCAGGTGTAGTAAAATATTTTCTTACCTATCTCGACATCCCCGGGCGGCGATTGTTGAATGTTATCTGTAACAAAAAGCATCAGGTTAATTAAGTCATAAAATAAAGTTTGGGAACAGGCTTAGGTATAGTAAAACATTTACTTACGTATCTCGACGTTAGCCATGATTTCGGCGTGTTTGGGGGGCACCAATTGTATATCCTCTAAAACAAATAATATTAATTCAAATATAAAACAATAACAATATAGTAAAATTATTAACAACAAATGACTCTTTACCTAAAATAATAATTTTTTTACGCTGGCTATCACATTCTGGTTCCATGAACTCGCATGGTTCGCGCTCCGGCGACGCCAATCTGCCAGAAAAAGAAAACTTAGTAAACACGTGTTGCTAAATTATGATAAAGTATGTAGTAAATACATTTACCGGGCGCGCCTTTTGCGCGGAGGCGCGTCAGGCATTATAACTCTAGCAACCTCAGAGTCACGCTTGCGAGTTAAAAGCTCTTTTTTTACTTCTGCTGGCAGCGCTGCAACACGCTTCTGGGTGAGCTGCCGCTGAGCGCGAATTAAGTCTAGTTCACTGCTACAAAGAAATAATATCCTGTAGTATCAAAAATAATAGTCCAACAATAAATCTGTGTAAAATATACTTACATCCTTGCTTGGGAGGGCTGATTGTCGTGTCCTCCGCGTCCTCTTCGGCCTCTCCGGTGTCTCCGACTGTTAGGGCGTTCTCCACCATAATGGTTGCCACGGTCGCCACGACTACCATGGCCTCTATGGCTCCCGTCGTTAGACGGCAGATCATTTTCACTAGGTGATCTATAATATAATATAATTATTTAAAACTTGACTACATATCTAATATAAGATGAGAAAAACAAAATGTACGAAAGTAGTTTTTAGTAACAAAATTACTAAAAATAGAAAATACCTCCTAACTTGAGATGGTCCCCTCCCACCTCTAGTACGAACCCCTCGGCCTCTACGACTTCCACGAGCTAAGTTAGTTTCGGTCGGTGATCTAAAATTGTTGTATGTATTAATTTAAACCATTAATATCATCAGGGAAAAAAACAATAATAATGTGGTAAAGAAGCATTAAAAATTACCCGCGTCAACTTAGAAGAGAGTTATTTTAAATGAGTAGGTATCCAATCCCTAATAACATGTATTATAAATGCGAAAGTCTGTATGTTTGTTAGTATATATGTCCCGTTTTCACGTCAAAACGGCTGAACTGATTTTGATGACTTTTGGTACAGTGATAGATGGGACCCTATAACGGTTATAGGCTATATAGCACAATATTAAGTAAATGATGGAAAGTACGGTGCAATCTCTGGGGTCGCTTTTTAATAGAAGCTATTTTTTATGGCAGTAAGGACCCTTTTTTTATTATATGATTACATAACAAAAGCCATTTTTATTTAGGATTTTTTTCTCGAAAGTTATGAGGTTCTTCAATGTAATTTCTTTTGAAAAGCGTTCTACATGAAGAGATCTACATAATAAATAATACGACAGCTTCTAAACTGGCGCCAGACATTGAGCAGTGGTGCAAAGCGAAAACCGTATACCGAAAAATGAATGATTTTGATTAAATATGAGAATTAAATTATTGTCAATACATCACAAGGAAAGTAAAGTGATTTGAAATCGTAGAACACATCCTCCATGTAAGTAAAGTGAAGTTAAATAGAAAAGAGAGCAAAAGTCGACAATCACGAACAAACATAACATTAATATAACACAAGAACAAAAACTATGAGATAAGAGCATGATGAAACACAATTACACAACCAACTAAGCGAAAAAAAAAACTCAAGACCCAAACCAACCAAGACCTCGACCACAAAAAATAAGAAAGCGAAACATATTGCAAGCATACTTTGCTATTTGTACCGACCCTTATTTAGAGCCATTGTAGTTACGTCCATGGATATCAAACTATCCACAACAAAAGACCTGAGGAACACAATAACATTTCTAAGGAATCTTCAGTGAATATAGTTTAATTCTGTTTGCAAAGTGCATTATTATGTTTATTACAACTATTACTCGTTGCTTAAATATAATTTTACTGAAAAACTAAGTTACCAAAACTAAAATTGGGCCGACAACTTGAGCGGCCATTTTTTCGAAACAGCTATACTTTGAATTTAAAATATGACTCGATTTTACACTTAGAACTGTGATATATATACGTAATTATAAAGCACAAATCATCTAGTTTATTTTGACGTATAATAATCTACGAAATATTAAATTAAACTAAAGTACTTACGACATAATCGCTGGCACTCCAAAAACACTTGTTCACAAAACACAGAACACCGATACTGAAGTAAGATATTTATGGTTCATTCGTCAAGACTTGTTATACTGCCATCTCGTATTTGATACGTAAAGTAATTCGTCAGCTATTGATTCCATAAATAAAACTCACAAAACGTACTGCAGATTGTCCCTAGATGTCAGTTTTATAAAACTTAACGCTTTGGCTACACTAGTATCCAGGACGTACAAGGCAATTTTTATTTTGGATGGCGTAGTATCCATGGACGTGTCAGTGGTTGTATCAATTAACTTACATTGTTCTCGTAGTTAATTTCATGTTGTAAAATTGTTTGTAGTAAAAGTTGTTTGTTACATGGAAATAACATTACTTCATTCGAGTCAGTTAATTCTTATTCCTATCCTCAATTAGTATTCCATTATTTACAATATAACGTATTCGATCCCACATTTGAATACAACGTTGGGGCGTAGCCCCAAAATTGGTGACCCCACGTTTGGATTGGTGAACCCTACAATTGGTAACAAAGTTGGTCGACAAAGCCGAAATAACGGTAAATTGAGCTACGCATCGTACGGTATCAACGATTTAGCTTCAAAACAACGTGGTGATAACAAAGGATAGGGTGTGGTTCAAGTCAACAAGGTGAGCTTATCATTATTTTTTTATTTTGATATTGTGCTATGATGGACAAACCGAGTGTAGTCAACGTCATCGATCAGAAAGAGTTGACTCCCGCAGAAATTTTGAGAGTTGGTGTTAGAGTAACGCAATTTCTGGCCGACGAGCCTGCCTTATGGTTCGCGCAAATTGAAGGCCAGTTCCTATTGTCCAGGATCACGAATGACGAGACAAAATTCTACTACGTAGCCGCGCAACTAGAACCTCCATACGCTAGGGAAGTTAAGGATATTATTAATAACCCACCTAGAACCGATAAGTACCTAACATTGAAAACGGAACTAATACGTCGTCTTTCAAAATCGCAGGAGAAGCGCCTCCAGCAATTGCTCAACCACGAAGAGCTTGGAGATCGGAAAACATCGCAGTTCTTACGCCACCTGCAGAATCTAGCCGGAGCATCTGCAGCATCGGACGTCATTAAAACATTATGGTCGAGTCGTTTACCCATTAATGTACAAACTGTGATTGCTTCTCAGATAACAGACTTATCGTTGGAGAAACTAGCCGAACTCGCAGACAGGGTGTACGAGATCGCGCCAGTGAGCCCTCAAGTAGCCAGCACCGCTACTAGGACGCCGGAAAACTGTGACACTATGGCCAGGCCGATAAGTGACCTAACGAGGCAAGTAGCACTTCTCAATACTCAACTCAACAGGCAACAACGTTCCCGCTCAAGATCGCGATCCAACTCAAGGAAGCACACACAAGGCGGAAAACTTACAGGGGAGTCTCAAGTAACGGCCAGTGACTACCCCTCTTCAACAGGCCGTCTATTCATCTCTGATCGGACATCACAAATGCAGTTCCTCGTGGACACTGGTTCAGACCTGTGTGTTTTTCCCTAGTCAGTAGTCAAGACGCCTTGCTATAAATCCAGGTATGACCTCATAACTGCTAACAACACAGTCATACACACCTATGGACCGATAACGCTACACCTCAATCTAGGATTGAGACGGAATTTCACATGGAATTTCACAATATCCGATGTGACACGACCGATTATCGGAGTTGACTTCCTCTGCCACTACAATTTACTACTCGACTGTAGGAATCAACGATTAGTTGACAATGTCACTACTCTCTCGGTCAACGCCGTAGCCCGCACATCAACGGAGGATATCGCTTCGGTGATGTCAGTCACCGGAGAAACCGAATTTCAATAAATACTGCGTGAATTCTCCGAGATAACTCGCCCTACAGGTATGCACTTACCATGCAAACACAACACTCTGCACCACATTAGGACGACTCCAGGACCTCCAGCAGCCAGTAAGCCTCGACACCTGGATCCACTTCGCATGCAAGCTGCGAAGCAGGAGTTCTTAGACCTGCTCGCCAGTGGCATAGCCAGACTGTTGTTCTTCTCCTCTGCACATGGTAAGAAAAAAAGATGATAGTTGGAGACCATGTGGAAACTACAGAGAACTGAACAGTAGAACTATACCTGATCGATATCCCATCCGTCATATCAACGACTTCTCGCATCAACTTACAGGCTATTCTATCTTTTCTACCAATGTCTTAGTCAAGGCGTACAATCAGATTACTGGAAATCCATATGTCATCATGAAAACGGCAATCACGACTCCATTTGGATTGTACGAATTCCCGTTCATGAACTATGGCTTAAGAAACTCAGCACAAACCTTACAGAGGTTCATTGACGAGGTGTTGCAAGAACTCGGTTTCTGCTACGGATACATAGATGACATTTCGTCATCAATCCAAGCACAAAAACCATCTGCGGCAACTCTTCGAACGCCTAAAGCAGTACAGCGTAGTGGTAAACACTGCCAAGTGTACACTTGGGCAACCAGAAGTCACGATCCTGAGATACCACGTGTCAGCTGCAGGTACTAAACCACTTGAGTCCAAAATTGAAACTATCGGGCAATACCCCGTTCCAAATCAAAGAACTGAGACGTTTCTTAGGCATGGTAAACTTTTACCGTCGCTTTATTTTCAGCGCAGCCCAACTTCAAGCACCGCTGAATGACGTTTTCAGTGGCTCAAAAATCAAAGGGTCTCATCCTATAGACATGACTCCACAATTACTTCGAGCATTCGAAGACTTTAAGGAATCACTATCTCAAGCAAATCTTCTTGCTCATCCCGACCCAGCTACAGAACTAGCAATAGTGACAGACGCATCTCAAACTGCCATAAGCGCCGTCCTTCAACAAGAGCTGTTGGCTGTGTACGAAGCCATCAAGTACTTCCGTCACATGTTTGAGGCCAGACTATTTACAATATTCACCGACCGTAAGCCTCTCACCTTCGCTTTCTCAAAAAGCAAAGACAAATGCACTCTTAGACAGTTCAGACACCTCGACTACATTTCTCAGTTTACAACAGACCTGAGATACCTACCTGGTAAGGAAAACTTAGTAGCTGACGCACTTTCTAGAGTCGAGGAGATCACTACAGCTGTGGACTACGATGATCTTGCACGAGCTCAGAACAAAGATCCTGAACTGCAAAATCTACTTCTTCATGGCTCTGCACTGCAACTGAAAAGGATAAAAACTTTAAACGGTAATTTACCTGTCTATTGCAACATTTCTGTGTAACCGCCACGACCTTACATTACTCCTTAGTTCAGAAAACAAGTCTATGAGACACTGCACAGCTTACACCATCTAGGAAGATCAGCTACTATGCGATTGGTCTCAAAAAGATACGTATGGCCAGGGATACGCAAGGATTGTAGAGAGTGGTCAAGACAATGCTTGTCATGCCAAAAGAGCAAAATAACCCGTCATACCATATCCCCACCTTCACCTTTCTTCACTCTTTCGTCGAGATTTCTCACATCAACTTAC